TTTTTTGTCTGCAATCTTTTTCAGTGAAATATAGCGTTTGTCTTTTTTTCTGTACCTTGGCTTCCATATCCATTCTCAGTGTCTCTGCAACCAGCAAGTACACAAAGAGAAGTTGCAAGCGCGTAATTCCAATTTCTGCACTGATTAGGACAACAGAACATCGGGATAAGTTTGTCTTTTGTAATCCTTACTATTTCCGGTGTAAAGATATTTTGTGTAATTGTTTGTACTTGCGCAGCGTGGTTGCATAAAGTACCGATGCAGTGTAGTATTTTATCTGGAAACTAGTTCCCTTTGCAAGAGATATTGCGATATGCGCGGTAGGAGAATAGTAAACTGGAGAGAGAATCTGGAGAGTTTACGGCAATTATTTTGAAATTGAAAAAAAGCTTTTCTTTCACAATCTCCACGTTAGTTTTGATGAAAGCTCCGTGGGCTTCCGCAACAGGGATTGCATATTCAGACCGTCATAATTGGCTTTTGAGCAAACTCAAACCTAAACTCATAACCTAAAAATGAAGTAGAACGAAGTGGTTCCTTTTTTGATCACAAAAGCTATTTCGTATACAAGACATCAAAAACATTGCAAATAGCAGCAGTTGTTTATGAGTCTGTCTGCTCATAAAGAGACGAGATGACGGGAGAATTCACTCTTTTGTGCCTTTTAAGATAATATTACCTCTTAATATCGCATACTTGCAGGTTGTGGATGAAACACATTTTTCAAAAAATGAAGTGCGAGCAATCTACAGAGCCTTCAAAGAAACATCTCCCAATGCTGTACTCAACAAAAGTACTCATAAGAATCTTTTACCCATACCGTAATAAATGGAACCCATTCAGTAACATAAAGGGGTTCAAATTAATATTTTATTGATGCAAAGAATTATTTCAGGTACACTGAGAGAAAAATTTGCTGAGCTCTTCCCCCATGGTGAGACTGAGCACTATGCTGATCTTCTATTTGAATCATTCGACAACGATGGTAATGGAAACATCAACTTTCATGTTTGTTTGCACTATGTACTTGATAATATAAATTAATTTGTACTAGTAACATATACGGAATTTGTGCATGAATCCGCAAATACACACATGCCAAATTTTTGAAGAAGATTGTCGCTTTTTTTGCGATAGAATTGAATTGAGTTGGAGCAAAGTAGCCTTTTCCTCTCACTTGTTTAATGGATTTTCATTGCGACACACGCCTTCAACATAACCAAATGCCTTCAGAAAAACCTGCGTTCTATATTTTAGAGCATTCTTGGGATTGGCACGAACAGATTATGTGATTATTCAGCTGTTTTCTAGTAAAACAGATGGAGCACTTAGCTTACCGAAATAACAGAACAAAACCCGATTGAAACTTGATTTTGATTTTGCGCTCAACTAGCTTCTTCTGCGACCTTAATTAATGTATTCGCTCAGCTGCGAATCTCAGTAAAATGTATGAAGAGCATATTTTAACAACATAACATAAAGTTTGCTAATTGAGTACTTAAGGCAACCGTTGCTAATTAAATACTTGGTGTGTTTGAGCTCTGAGAACGACATGAATAGTCGAAAGTTCATTTGAAAGCTAGTAACTCCGAGAACACACTTCTAAATTTGGAAGCATAACTATAATAAGACGACCTTCACCGTTAGCAATGTTCTGAGTAAAAATATGATCTCTGACCTTATCTGATATCTTCCAGGAATTCGTCAAGGCTCTGTCCGTGCTCTGTCGGGGCACTTTGGATGAGAAACTTGATTGGCTGTATAAACTCTACGATCCAAAGGGAAAAGGTGAAGTGACGTGGCACCGAATGTTCTATGTCATCACCTCTATGGATGACTTAATGGGTGAGTGCAACATCCACAGCTCAGAACAGATGGCATCTGCAAGTTTCAGAAAAAACTTCTCTTCAACTTCCACATTATGACACTTGAGGCGTTTATAGAGGCCTACTATGAAGCTATAATTAGCGAACGACAAGAGAAATTATGGGAAAAGGAAGGCGTAATAAAGAAGGCTTCAAAATTTCTTAGCAGAGTGATGAAGGCAATTATCAGAGTGATTTGGAGAGTGGTTGATGCTTACGTTATAGAATATATGCAGGAAAATCCAAGAATGTTTGAGAACATAGGGTGGGGAGAATCGACTTTGTTTTGGAATTGCTACGTTTCAAGCATTGAATTTTCTTAATTGCGCATAATACACATGATCTCATATCATTTGTAGGTCGTAAGCAATTTTTTTTTCTGAGTTGATGCTGTCATTTGGATTTCGCGTGCTTGTGTGAGGTCCCAACAAACATGCAAGTAGTCGCCCTGTTCGATTTGTTCTTTGGGCTAAATCACGAACATTTTGCATATATGATAATCCTTTACTTTTGTTGGCCAAAACGACACCCAATTCGTATATCTGCGTTTATTTAAATCAATATTGGTATGTTCAGGAAGGAGGGCCCGTCCAATTCCAAGTCGAGAACAGCGGGCGCAGCATGCGCATAATGTATTCCAGGTAGGTGAATTATACCGAGTTCTTGAATGCCAGCTTTTGATTTTTTGTTGTGGAGCAACCCACTAAAATATTGCACTTATCAATGAAGTTATGAAAGATGTCTTTATTGCAGAAATTCGATATTGGCAAACGAGGACGGATATCGAAGGAAGATTTTATAACAGTATGCAAAACTGATCAACAAATTATTGAATCTATGTCAGCGTTGTACACAATATTACCGGGTTAATACACGTTAATACATACATACTGTAGCAATTTTATTATTAGTTGGTGTAAAACAACATGGTAACAAACAAGCAAAGTTCAAAAACCGCCATTTGTACAGATTACGACAATTCCAGAGAAAACAGGAAACACAGGTTTAAAGATGACTGGAAGGTTGATGAAATAAAAGATGTCAACTGAGAACGTTGCATACACGTATAAATCCGTTTGAATAAATTTTGGGCGAACTCCGTTTATACACAAAATTGCACCCTTTTCCTTGCCGGCCTGGATGCCAATGCTTGGGGATTGATAGGATTAATGAGGGAGAGAAGTAATGTGAATTAAGACGATTAAAAACCGCGAGGCGAGCTCGACCACGGCAGTAACAGGCCGGTTTAGCGATAAATGTAGTTGGCGAAAGCATGCATGGATAGAAAAATGTGTTGCAGTGCTGAAAGGATGAATGGTGCCCTGAAGAGGTACGAACGACTGGAGGTTGGGTATCAGGTGATGAGAGCGAGCTGGACTGCGGTTAGTGCTGTTCAAGCAGCAGAACGACAAATCAAAGGGCCTGCAGAAGGATAAGGTAACTCGTAATGATCCCGAGATAAGCGAACAAAGACTTCTGAATTGGCTCATAGAGTAAAACTGAAACATTTGCACTTACAACTTGACTCATAGCAACGCAACGATAACTGTAATCAAATGACAAGGGAGGGTAAAGGAAGCAAGAAAATGAATACTCGAAATTATGAAAGCATGAGCCTGAAAGGAATTGTATATCTGCTCAAAACTAGATAAATTACACCGATGGTGCATCAGTGGAACCAGCTGGTGGCGCACAAGTGCGGTAAAATATTAGATTATACTCCTCATATCCTCCATGAAGATGATCTTCGCTGGAAAAGCACGACTCCGTCGTGAATCCAACACGGAATCGATACGCGGATTGGAGGTAACTGCCGACGGACAGCTCGAAAATATCATCTCCTATCTGAACGCAGCATTTGAAGCGCTGTTTGTGTTGATATGGTATGAGACTTACCTGATTCGCTACAGGGTACTGCGGACGTTCTGTCCTGAAGCTATCACTTTGTAAAGTGCAATACTTGTGCTGAAAATCTGCCAGGTACCCACAATTGTTGACAAGCTTTCCTTTTGGTACCCTAAAGAAGTATTCTAATCTGGCTTTAAGCAGTAAATCTCGACGACTTACGAGAAAATGATTTCCAGAGGTATCGTTGGAAGGTACGGTGACACGGGAATATACATGTTAAACCGTCCACGTTTCTTATTGCAGCTTTGCTTTGCTTTGATACAGTACCGGCTATCGATGGTGGCATTCAGGGTTGGTATCAAGATCCGAACGCCTGTGCCGAGCGGCCTTCCGGCTGAAGCGTCTGGAGCATTTCGAGCTACCATATTTTTACTGCGCTCGCCCAAAGTCACGATAGCATCCATCTGTAATTCTTCAATATGTCCCATGACGGAGATAACTGTGACTCACTTACCTCGTTTACTCTGTTAACAGAACGGTAGACTGCTCGATCCGCGCAACAGTAGGTATGACAGTGTTTCGAACGACATGATGACATCAGCGTTGGCGCATCCGGTTGTAGCATCGGCAGATATGGATGGTCTGAATGACGAAAAGTGTACATATATCATATTCCACAACTAGCTCCACTGCGCTGCTTACCTATCTGATATATCATATGACCGACACCTTCTGCAGAGCCTCCAGACTTTGTCGATGGGGTAGCGTTTGGTGGATAAAGGTGCTGGTAGCCATAATTCCGGTTATGCCAATCAAGTACGTACAGAGCAGACATGGCGATGAGACAAGCAGCCATTACGATGACAAGGGTGATGATGGTGCCTTGGGTCAACTTTGAGTTGCAAAGCGGCTCTTGTGGCTGACACTGCGACCGACAACTACGTATCTGCAGAATTTAAATTATAATTCGTCTTTTCAAAAATTATGCTAGCAAACCTTTCGCCTTTCCCTGCTCTCTTTAGCAACTGAGGGTGATGTGGATGCAAGCGAAGTTCGAGAATAAGAAAGGTAGCTCTTGTTGTCGCTGACGATGCCAGAAGATTGCTCGCTGAGGTTTGAAGCAATAGACCCTATGAGTTTCTTCCTCCGAGCATATCGAGCTAAGCGTTGGCTGATTTCTTCGACCTAAAAATGTT